GGCAGAACTCAAACTTATCCATTTTCCTCTGTCAGGACACTCTTCAGATACATGGACTTAAACTCCAAGAATATTCAGTCATGACAGTTTGGCTGGGGCTTTCTGGAAGCTGAAATCCCCATTTCTGTTAGATTTTCCCTGTTGGAGAAGGCTAAATTATGCAACCTCCGTATCGAAAATGTTTATTACAGAGATACACCATCTGTAGCCCTACAGACATATGTGGCTTCCCAAAGCCTTAAATAAAACCCACAGAGCTCCTACAGAATTTGCTGCAAATCATATTTTTTATATTACAAAGGGAAATCAATTAAATATGTGGAGTGTGATTTTTAAACCCCAATGGCTTTAAATCCAGGCTTAGAATTAAATTCAACTTGTCATGCCTACTTTCACTGCGTTGATCTGATTCTTGCTCATTTTTTAAATATTACTACTGTGCATGATTTAAAGGTCAAGTGTGGCCTTAACTCAAGAATGTTGGCCATTCTGATTTTCCTTTAAGATAAAACTCTTCAATAAGGCACCTGAAATGTAAAGAAATATTGCTTGCCCCAAAAGTTACATTGTGACAGCTTTGACATGACAAAATGACTGGGCAAATTGGTGCTTATTAAAGGTAAACTTTGAAAACTTTAAACTAAATAAGTACATCTTAAAAGAATGTTTAACAGTCTTTAATGCAGAGCTCAAAGGGACCTTGGAAGTCTTCTAGTTCAACCCCTTGGTCAAGCAGGAGACCCTGTACCAGTGATGGCTAACCTTTTATGTCACCATAAAAGGTTAGCATCTAACCTTTACGTGCTGACCTGCATGCCAGAAATGGCACATGAAACCATCCTGGCCTCGCTGGCCTTTGCACACGTTGGAGTGCCAAAACCTGGAAGAGCAGTGTCCGTCGCGCATGCGCGAGCTGGCACCCAAACTTCTGGTTTCCAGCGCGAATGCGCGCCCGACGAACAGCTGGCCATCGTGCATGCACACGATGTAAACCCGGCTTGTGGATGCGCGATGGAACGCTGCTCTTCTGGGTTTTGGCGCTCCCAGAAGAGCAGCTGACTGGTGCACGTGTGTGCACAGGAATGCGGAAGAGGAGCCAGTGAGGTTACCCACCCCTCATGGGATGGTTTTGCGTGCCGCTTCCCACACGCGATCCATAGGTTTGCCAACATGGCCCTATACCATTCCAGATATGGAATGGTATCCGCCTGGATACCATTCCAGACAAGCGGCTGTCCAGTGTTGAAGGTGACAGATTCATGGTTCAGAGAGGAAGATATAATGATGCTCCGCTATCCTCAGGAAAAAAAGAAAGAAAATAATGCACTGAAACTTCAGATCCACATAAAATATGTAACTTCTCCTACCAGTTTATAGCCAGAACCTTTCATTTACTCTGAAAAATGGAAGCTAATAACTTGTAGACAAATCTTCCTTTACAGAGATGTCATCAATGGCCAAGAAAGATTTAGAGGGCAATCAATGCATCTGTCTTCACAAGAAGATACAATTTATTTGCAAAGATGAGCCATGTCAGATTCTCAATATGCTTTTGCATTTAAAGAAGACGTGGTTAAAATGTGCAGTGCACTTTTTCTTCATTTTAACTTAATTGTCAACTTATTATTGTCAACAAAGTCAGCTAAAGAGAACAAACAGTGTAGAACGAATTGACTCTTGAGATAATCTTGGATTAGTTTCTCAGACATCTGAGATTAGTTGAAGCTCTAGTCAGGTTAATGATTTTAGACGCCATTTCAAAATTTACCAATACAATGAATATGGAAAAAAGAGGAGATAAAGCTAGCATGCATTACCCCATGTTTCGTAAATACAGTGCCTTGTTTCGGCTAAATGTCTGGAGAAGGTTTAGCATTAGTACTAGCACTAGTACTAGCATTTAGACCTATATACTGCTTCATAGTGCTTTACAGAGAGCTAAGTGGTTTACAGAGTCAGCATATTACCCCCAACAGTCTGGATCCTCATATTACTGACCTTGGAAGGATGGAAGGAAGAGTCAATCTTGAGCCAGTAAGAATCGAAATGCTGGCAATCAGCGGAATTAGCCTGCAATACTGCATTCTAACCACTGTGCCACCATGGCTCTCAGATATACAACTTGAAATAAGATATTGTTAAAAAAATAACAGGATAAGATCTGTCTTCATACGCAAACATGAGATCAATGTTTCCTTCTTTATTATCATGTTACAAAGCTATTCACCCTCATATAGAAGATGGGAATAGTACAAGGTAGTTGTTGAAACAAGAATTAAGAAACATCTGATATTTACATATGTGGTGGGATTGTAAATTTGTGCAAAAATTGTGGAAGATGGTGTTTAAGGAGATAGAAGAAATTGTAGGAATAAAGGTAGAAGAGGCACCAAAGGTAGCATTACTCACACCATTGGAAGATATAAAATGTAAAAAAGAGACTAAAGAATTGATAATAAATTTGTTGACCGCAGCAAGGCTAATGATTTCTAGGAACTGGAAGATATAAGGTGTTTATAATTTGGAAGAATGGTATAAGGAGGTATGGGATATTGCCATAAATGATAAATTGACTTGCAATATTAAAGTAAGGAGGGACATAATGAAGGTAAACGATTTCAATGGTATCTGGAAACAGTTCCTAATATATGTGTTTTCTGGAGGAAGAGGGATACCACCACCAGAAGAAGCTTTAAGATTCTGGAAGCAGGAATGATCCCGAGGGGTGGGGGAGCACTTGTTGATTGTTTGTATTCTGTATATTGTTATATATTATATATTATGATTCATGTATGTTATGTATGTTAATTTCTTTATATATATATATATATATGTTAATAATAAAAAAATATGGGGAAAAAAAAGAAACATCTGATGCTTCTGTTTGGATGAGAGAAACATAACCTGATGAAAATACATACCAGAATATTTACAATATTGAAAACTTGGACAATGTACAAAGAGAAACTAAATATATAGCCTTGAGGTACTCTTCTCGGTTATATTAAATTTGGTAACTGAATGCTTAGTTTTAAGCTACGAGGGAATCATAGCTGTTAAATAAGTAGAAATCTGACTGGGCTCATGAGAATGAACCCCAGGAGACAGCAAGGAAGTAATATTTGAATTCCCAATAGTGAAAATTGGACAATTCAGGAATTTACTTTTGGGAATATTTGGGTATAGGGTAAGACATTAAGCGTGTTCTATTGCTATATCTGTATTTTAAGTAAAGGAAGATAACACATTTTTTTTTTTTGCTAGAATAAAATCAAGGACACTTAATTGGAGAAAGAGTTTAACAGAATATATTTGAATTTTTTTGAATCTGCATTGCATTGAAAGAGGTAAAATAACATGTCATTTGGAGCCACAAACCCCAGAAATGAAGGTATCCCAAATATATTGACATGGGTGTTGGAAATAGGATGAAATAAATGGTAGATTATGTTGCTGTTCTTGAAGTTATCCTTAAGTGCTAATTTAATGCACTCAAGTTTTATACACGGTCAAACAGAAAACTGAAATTAATCTTCATTTAGATTCTTTAATAGCAATGTCATTTAACAGATAACCAAAATATAGAGGAGGCAGATGAAGTGAAATTTTCATGGATCATCATACTATCAAGGACAACAGCTATAATCTTTGTCACAAGGGAATGATTGTTTAAAACAATAAACTGACCCCAAAGGATCTACTAGCAGATGGTTCACAGAATAATAAATACCTAAAGCAGACAAAGAAGGAAGCAGGGGAGGAAGAATATCAGACATACATATGTTATAGATTAGTGGAATATCTTCCTTGTTCATCATAATAGCTGGATTTGAATAGAGGAGCCAGATTGGCCCCAGCCAGGAGTCGAATGAATTTATTGGTTTTTTTTTTTTTTTTTTGTGTGTGTGTGTATGAAAACATCAGTCACCTTTTTCTAAGGGAACAGATAGGGTGGATTCATCTACTATATTCAACTTGAATTAAACTTATTTTTTTTTCCTTTGTAATAAAGGATCTTGAGAGTTCTCACACAAAGCACATATGACCATTCTCAAATGATCATTATTTTGGACACATTATACAAAGATCTAGCTGGTGAGATGGGAGGAAAGAGAAGGAGAAGACAACCAGCATCAAAATGGATGGGCTTAATTATTGCAGCCCTTGGTGCATCACTGGGAGATCAGAAGGATCAGATCATTCTGAAAGAAGTTTATTTATGTGAATCGTTAAGAGTCAATGTTGACGTGGTGATGCATAATCAATTAATCAGTCAATCAATCAACCATTCAATAAACCAGTAAAATGTCATGTGTGCACATAACATGCTAAAACATGCACACAAAAAGATGAAAATCAATCGAGCGAGTACAACATTAGTTCTGCAAATGCAGTTATTAATAATTTTTAAATGTTTTGGATAAAATGTATTGCATGAATTTAAACTGGACTGCTGAACGTAAGGATGCTATTAAGATAAAGGCCAAATGTTTTAATGTTTTGATAGTAATACCCCGTTTCCCTGAAAATAAGACATCCCCTGATAATAAGCCCAATTGGGCTTTTGAGCGCATGCGCTAAAATAAGCCCTCCCCAAAAATATTTAAATGCAGAGCTGGAAATCAGGTAAGATGGCAAGAGGAGCCCCATCTTGCTCCATGTGCTCCAAAATAATAAGACCTCTCCGAAAATTAAGGCCAAGCGCTTATTTCGGGGTTCAAAAAAATACAAGACAGGGTCTTATTTTCGGGAAACACAGTAGTAGTTTTTGTCTCCAGAAATGGAGATCTTGCAGGGACTTACAAACATAGCAAACATACAATAGTTTTATACAGAGAAAGCTTTATTTTGCTCTTTGTTCTTCTCTTTCCCTAAACACATACACACACATCAGACTCCACTGCTTGACTACAGAATTATACATGGACCTCATACATCCTAAGACATCTCAACTTCTATATGGTGTCAACACCAACTTGGGAAGCATGTAGAAGGCCTACCTGTCACGAGAAAGCTGCAGCGGCCAGCCCCTGCCTCATTGATGATGTTGCAACTGTAATTTCCATAACTATCCCTTGATAGGCTCCTGATTATATATTCTGTGGAGTCTTGAGCATCAAATCTTCCCGTCCGAAGAAGCTTGCTGCCCAATCGCCACTCAAAGGTCAAAACCCGAGTTGGGTAAGCCCTCAGCACCCGGCAGCTCATGGTCACACTTCGGCCTTGGCCTTGTCGAATCTCAAGGAACGTTGGCTCAACAGCAGGTGGGTCTGCAAGGCAAAAGAATGAGGTGGGGTGAACAAAAGGGGACACAGCAAACACACACCTCCTCCTGCCCTGATTCCCTCATATCTGACTAATTTAGTCAGATATATTAAATATAGTATAAAATACTATATTTTATACTATAAACTCCCAAGTTAATCAGTTTACCAATCATTTCACCTCAAAAGATTAGTTAATGGAACTGTTTTTGAAAACCATTTAGAAGTTACATTTGGTCCATGCAGACGAGTAGATTGCTTGAAAAAAATTGAAGGCACTTGTATTGCATTCTTTCCCTCCCATTTTATTCTCTTCCTCAGGATAACATGGCAGAGTTGCCAATGAAGCTGCTACCTTGACACAGGTGTGGGAGGAGAATGGAGGAAGGTGTATATTTTGGAGCTTTGCAGCCACCAGTAAACTGAGTACAGCAGCCAAAGGAAGGCCGGTCGGTCCAAAAGGAAAAACAAGAAGTATAGAGATCCAGCAAGACAGAACACAACATAAAAAGGTGCAAGAACTCTACATGCTGGCCATTAAAACAAAAAGAAGAAATCTCAAAAAGAGGGAACTTAAGACAGAACAGGCTTTAAAAAAAAAAAAACCATTGATGCATACCAGTAATATAGAGCATAAAAAGGTAAAGGTAAAGGTTCCCCTTGCACATCTGTGCTAGTCATTCCTGACTCTAGGTGGAGGTGCTCATCTCAGTTTCAAAGCCGAAGAGCCAGCGCTGTCCGAAGACGTCTCCATGGTCATGTGGCTGGCATGACTAAATGCCAAAGGCGCACGAAACACTGTTACCTTCCCACCAAAGGTTGTCCCTATTTTTCTACTTGTATTTTTTACGTGCTTTCGAACTGCTAGGTTGGCAGAAGCTGGGACAAGTAACGGGAGCTCACCCTGTTATGCGGCACTAGGGATTCGAACCGCTGAACTGCTGACCTTTCGATCAACAAGCTCAATGTCTTAGCTACTGAGCCACCACGTCCCTTACAATATATAGAACAAAGTATATAGCAAATTGTAACAGAGTATTAGATAATAGTAGTAGAATAGTAATAGCATAGTTATAGTAATAGTATAGAGTGTAACATCATAGAAATAATTGTCTAAGTAATTTTATAGACACAGCAACAGAATATAGCTAGAATTCACATATCATTTTTATATGATATTTACACAAAACCAAACATCTCCCCAACCCTATATAAAAATGTAAAATATAAAGAAACCAGCTGTCCAAGGTCCAATGCTTTTGTGTCTCTCTTGAGTCTGAGTCATTCTAACTGTGTACTGTTAAGAAAAGAACCCATGGGAGTCTAAATGGTGATAACTAAGATTTTGAGTAATTGAAATTGAATTTGATCTTTAAAAAGTTCAGAAATGAGATGGGAGGCTACCAATTAATAAATTAGCTTGGGAAGTAGAAAAATATTCTGGAAGACCAAAACAAACCCCTGTATTCCCCAATCTCTATGATATGTCTCTAAGAAGAATATCTGGGGGAGCACCTATTTCCAGTTGTCTCTGCCCGCTCAGTATGTTCTGGCAGAGTGGGTGTGCTCCAGGTCCTCTGTATTAAACACCGAAGATATTAATATTGGAATCCTGTAGGACTAAAGAGCCATGCCTTAACAGATTAACAGAGTTGGAAGGTCATCTTTGTAGGTCATCTAGTTCAACCCCCCACCCCGCCCAAACAGGAGACCCTACACCATTTCTGACAGAAGTCAGTCCAGTCTCTTCTTGAAAGCCTCCAGTGATGAAGCTCCCACAACTTCTGAAGGCAACTTCTGTTCCATTTGTTGATTGCTCTCACTGTCACAAAAATTATCCTTATTTCCAGCTTGTTCAGTTTCAATCCATTATTCCTTGTCTGGCCTTCGGGTGCTTTGAACCTTCTCAGTCACAGACCCTGCTCTCTGGAATAGGCATACATAACACAAACACACACAGCCTTTCCCAGAGTTACAGAAAACACTTAAGGCCTGGCTCTGGTCCCAGATCTGACATTAATGTGTTTGTGAAACATCTATTGTGGCTTCTTGTTTTTATTGTGGTTGTTTTAATATTGGCTGTGTTGTTTTATATTTTTCAGTTTTGTGTTTTTTTAAGCCACTGGAACCTGCTGGAGTTGGGGGGGGGGCACACAACAAATTTAAATAACTAAATAATAAAATCACCAGTAATGGAACTCAACCTGAAGGAGACTTGATTGAAAGAAGAAAACATGCACAAACATTGCTATCAATTCAGTTCCAAGTTAATTTCAAGTTGCTGAATATGAGCTTTAACACCCCAACTGTATAGACAGCAGCAAGAATTGTATTTGCACAATATTGGAAAAATGAGAATGCCTCACGAGATGAAAACATAATTCGGAAAATATTGGATTGTGCAGAAATAGATAGATTGACATTGAAAATAAAAGATAAAGGAGACAGAGTATTATTTAACATGGAATGTTGTTTATAACTGTAAGTAAGCTAATATAATTAATAGAATGATATATATAATGATACCACTATAATTATAAATATGGTTATAATTACTATGTATTATTACTACTACTATCAATGTACAGTATCTGTTACTTTCTCTCTCTCTTTATTTTTCTTTAAAATGGAATGATGGGACAACACACTGTATTCAAAATGCTTATATATAAATAAAAATAACTTGACATAAAAAAATTGGTTGCCATATAAAGTTCTCCAGTGAGGCTGGTATTCACAGGGCAAACTAGGGAAAATACAACCATTGCATCACCATTAGAAGGCATTACATTATGACGTGAATCATGCAGGAACTGGGTATGTCTAGTTTAATGAAAAGAAGGACTAGGGGACACATGGTAGCAGTGTTCTAATATCTCAGGAGCTGCCACAAAGAAGAGGGAGTCAAGCTAGTCTCCAAAGCACCTGAGGGTAGGACAAGAAGCAATGGGTGGAAACTAATCAAAGAGAGAAGCAACCTAGAACTAAGGAGAAATTTTCTGACAGTTAGAACAATTAATCAGTGGAATAACTTGCCTGCAGAAGTTGTGAATGCTCCAACATTGGGAGTTTTTAAGAAGAGATAGGATAATTATTTGTCTGAAGTGATGTAGGGTTTCCTGCCTAAGCAGGGGGTTGGACTAGAAGACCTCCAAGGTCCCTTCCAATTCTTGTTATTCTAAACTTAAGAAGGCAGAAGAAGCCATTCCAAAGGGATCAAGGAAGTGAATAAAGCATGGATTTAACATGCTTTAGTGTCATCTTTGAAGTTACAACAGATCCCAATAGTTTTAAGTGTGCAGCTGGGGAAACCAACTTTAAGCCAATAGAAATGAGGAGCCCAATCAAAGAAGCAGGAAGAGAGGTTCTCTAACTAATCTCAGATTCCAAGATAGGACTTCCACTACCCTAAGGTGACCAGACGTCCCGCTTTTGGCGGGACAGTCCCGCTTTTGAGCAATTTGTCCCGCGTCCCGCGGCGTTTCAAAAAAGTCCCGATTTTTCTTGAGCCCCAGCTGATGGTTAGAAGAAAAAAAAACTGTTTAAACTCTTGCCCGGGGCTTCAAAGGGCCGCCCTACAGGCAATCAGTGTAAAGCAGTTTTTTCCCCCCTAGCTAAGCTTCAGAAACGAAACCGAAACCAGGGTCTTTGGTGCAGCGTGACAAAATGAGGCAGAGAGAGATTTATTTTTATTTTTATTTTTCCTCCCCAAAAAAGGTAGGTGAAAAACTGCAAACAATGGGAAATTTAGGAGGAGAGTTCAAGATTTTAAAACACAAAGGAAAAAAAGCTCTATTTAACTAGGGAATTGTAATAATTGAGATACTATTAATTGTATATTGTGTTGAAAGCAGAAATGGTTAAGTTGTGGTTCGGAGGAATATATGGGAGAAATTATTTGGTTTATTATTATTGGTAAATATAATTAATTGATTTGTAAGAAATTGGATTGCATGGAAATAATTGGAATATTCATGTTCATATTGATTAATATACAAAAAAGATAGTTTTATAACTAATTGATTTATATTAAAATGTTGAATTTGTATTAAACAACTGTATTACATAATTACATAATTAAACAATGTGAGGATGGATATAAAAATAGATGACAATGGGAAGGGGTATAATATAGAATAGAAGGGAAAAATTGAATTTGATTAAGATTAGAGATGAGGATGAAGGGTAATATTGGTTTTTTTAAAAAATAGATGAGGAATAAATATGGCAAAAAGGAAATATAGAAATTGTAAATTTAATTGAAATGACTAAACGCTGTTTAAATTTGTGAACCAGCCAAATATTCTGTTCAAAGAAAATACATTGTATGTTTGTATGTGTGTTTCTAATTATTGCTATTTATTCATATTTGTTCTCTTTTATTCTTTAAAGTTTAACAATTCATTCTTTATCTTAATATCTTTATATTTGCTTGGGGTTGGCTTTCTTCCCTTTCATCTTTTTTATTGTACAGCAATCTTTCTCCTCAAACCTACCACCACTCTCTTTTCTTTCCTTCTTACTTTCTCTTCCCCCACCCTCTTTTTCTCCTCCCTACTTCCTCTTTCTTTCTCCTTCTCCTCCTCTCTTCCTCCCTCTCTTACCCTCACTCCTACTCTAATTTCCATTCCTTCATCCCTCTCTATTGCTGTATCCTTTAATGCATATGGACTACTCAGAGGGCTGAAAAAGTTATTTTTGACTGGTCCTCACACTTTTGACCTGTCCTCGAACTTACGACTGTCCTCACATTTTACATTTTTGCCCTATCTTGTCACCTTGTTGAAGAGAAGCAGTTGTGAAATGAGTGACATGGTTGTTAAGAATGCTGCACGGGCATAAATGTGAGGATGGTCATAAGTGTGAGGACCAGTCAAAAGGTGAGGACCTGTCAGAAATGACTTTTCAGCCCTCTGAGTAGTCCCTATACACATAGCCATGGCCACCCAGTCACATGGCCTCCAAGCCACGCCCACACAATAAGCCACGCCCACAATGGTGTCCTT